GGGTCATGTGTGCATTTAAACAAAAAATGCCGCTAGTTTATATAAAATGTTGACAAAATCTTCACCTTGTCGTTGGGTTGTATGATTTAGATTGTTTAAGCATTTCCTGGTTGTCTTTAATTACATGTGCTTTGAATTGTCGCTCTCGCCTTTTCCACTTGTCAACTTCAAATAATGACAACTTGTAGAGGTGATATCGAGGGTCAGAGCTGGGTGCTGACTGGGGAGGTGAGGACTTCACGGTGAAGAGGAGCAACAGAGAATCACTCGACTTTAAAGTGATCGCGAGCACCTACTGACTGACTTGATTTTCACCACTGAATGGCGTGGCGGTAGATCTTTCGGCAAAGAACTTCGCTGGTATAATATTCGCTTCGGACAAGGGAAGCAGCACACGGTTTTAACGGATCCTGAGAGTTGTTACACCAGTTAACCTTACCATGAGAAAAGCGTTTCGACGCACCTTAAGCGATACCGCCTCCAGACACTGTTTTGTGTACTTTGTTAAGGAATTGCCTCTTTCGTCTCACAGGATTTCTTGTGTATTGTCAAAATTGTTGTAAGTCAGTGTAAGAAAATGGACAAGTGAAACCGATGCCACGTTATGAGTGATTCACTTAACTTCAGCGTCACACTCAGATGGAAAAGGTGGGCAAATGGGCGAAACCCTCCTGTCTACAACAATTTGTCAAGACCTTTCAGTCAGCTTAAGTGGAGGTGTCAAGAGCAATCAACCAACCTGTCAATCAGTTCTTCCAAACAGCATTGATGCATCCACGCTGAGTTGTGCCTTCACAAGTCAATTTGACGGAGTGATTAATTGACTGACCTAATGACAAGATCGGTCTTTATCACTGCCACCGCCTAATTGAATCACCTCTATTAAAAAGGAGGCCTTTGACGAGTCACTTAATAAGTGAGTGTGAGGCTAAGTCAGACAACCACACCTATTTGGGGTGGGGCATCTCAGTCCCTTTCTTCTTCGTAATCTGAAAATGATGGTTTTGCCTGGGTTTAACGTCATTACTAGACGTGAATTTTACTTACCTTCACGCGATGGCGCACATTTTAAAACTTCAAAAAGGAAAATTTAAACCTCCTCTTTTGAACAAAAATTTGGTGCAATGTGTGTTGATAAAAATAATCGAGATTGCTTTAAAAGATGAAAGTAGGTTAACACGCTTCCCCTTTTGTGCATTTTTCTCCAAAAAAAATTGCACCACCGCGTTGCTCCCTTTAAAGCGCAATCCACCTAATGCACTTTTGGCACTCAAATCAGAGATGACGGCAGTAGGAGTGAATTGCTTGACTCAGCGTCAGACTTCCATTGCATGCCTTGTGCACATACTCAAGCACCGAAACCAATGGCGGAGGTAGTCAGCCCTCATCTTCTCTATGAAACATTATATAAGAGAGGCTTGATAGAGTGAAATTACTACAACCCAAGCTTCCCTGTCACACAATGAGCGTGCTCAAAGCTAAAGTCATTCAATCTGACATGAAGGAGTCCATGCAACAGGAGGTGGTGAATGCCTGTGCCAAAGCCATTGCCGAGGATGACAGTCCTATTGCTATCGCAACCGCGGTTCGCAAGCACTTTGATGAATGCTACGGACCCTCGTGGACTTGTATTGTTGGTCGTGACTTTAGCAGGTAAGGTGATGTGATGATCTGGGAGGTGTTTAAAGTTAATGTACTACTCCTGATGCCTGTCTCTCATCTCCTGCCATTTTAGTGCATTCGCGTACGAGAAGAGAAGGCACATTTCGCTATCCATTGGGGGAAAACAAATCCTTCTTTTCAAGAGCGCTTAAACACTGTGTTAAAAAAGATCCACTCCTGTAAAATAAACTTGTCTTCTCACTCTCTCTGTACCGATATTGCCTTCCTTTCTGCGTGCGGATCCTCTACGCCTTGTCTACTGGTCATGTTAATGGACAAGGCACATTAAGGCCTCTTAGATTGACAAGAAGAAAGGGAGAAAGTTTTCTAGGCTTTTGGAGGTTTCCTATTAAATTTCGTGTTTGTGCAGACAGTGCAATAAAGTGCACCACGTATTCCATTTTGCGCGAGCAAAAAACGACAGTTCCTAGTCTGAGAATTACTCTCTTGTGCATCTTTATTGCTTGTCGGCTTTTGAATTTAGTCGATGGAGACACGGAGGGTGAGAGGCGGACAACTGAGTGGAGTTAGAGCTGAGATTATAGCCGGATAGCATCTAAGGTGGCTTAACCATTTCAAAGATACCTAATCTCATGCGTAATACGAAACACGTTATAGTGGTTAAGTTTTACGGTTTTGCTTTGGCTTATTCGACGATGAGTTAGACCCAAATGACCCGTCCTTAATGGGCCATTGTCAGCTCAGCCCAACTTAAAGGCAAGAGTGCATTAGATTAATTATCCACTT